TTTTATAGCATTATAACCATCTAACTGTGCTGTAACATATCTCTTGAAGTTAACTTGACAAATATCCTCAAGTATTGAGATTTCAAAGAAACCGACAGAAGTGCAAACATTATGAAAAAATTATAATTGAAAAAATAATTAACTTCGATGTCAAGGTTAACAAAAAGTCGGTCACTCGAGTATGAAAAAAAATTTACCTTTTTTGGGAGCATCCTTGGAGGCAGTTGAAAGCGATTCTTCGTATGCGCTTTTGGTTGCGAAACCTACTAAAGTATAAACAGAGTAACGTACCGAACAAGAAAATAATTATTCATCAAGTACAGTTTTTCGAAATTTTTCGAAAAGTAAAGCACTTCGACCTCACAGCGCAGAATAGATATGACTTTCCTGACAAAGTGTGGACGACATATTTTTATGCTACAAAAATCTCAAAATACTATAATTCAATATTGAACTAACACTGATTTGCTGGACTCCTGTCGTTGTTGACTAGATTGGAAACGAATGAAGAGTTCTTCGCGGTGGTAGCCATGTTATTTCCAACAAGTTCCAACACTTCAGTCGTTGTATACCAGAACTAAAAATCTCATAAATGAACAAGTATCCTCGGTTGTTATCATAAATCGAAACTCAAGTGTCTAACTAAGATAGAGTCTTAGTGACTCTTCGCTTCGGCCCGGTCTATACGGAGAACATAAGCCAGACAATGGAGTACGCGTAAAAGCTTCTGTGATACCTCAACAACTTTTTATGACAAAATATTATATCATTAGCACGAACTATTTATATTCACCTCAACATTGATCAATATTCACTGTTCTCCTCTGTACAAACACGAGACCAGATCAGGAGGTCCACTTCTACAAAAGCTTGCTCGAGGTCGTTTATCTTCTTCAAAATCAATGGCTGGTGTCTCGATGAATCTGCCTTCCATAAAACTGTTCAACTGCTTATGTGGGAACGGTCACTACGCTGTTTTCGCAGAGTGAAAAAAAAAGTAGTAGATAAACGGTTCCGATAAAGGCAAAGTCGTCGAAACGATAGCCGTCGATGGATTTCACGAGGATGATCCAACCTCATATAAGCTTTGAGAAAAGGACACTTCGTTAGAATGCTTACATTTTCCATGCAGAGATCTAGTGGGAGTTGATGTTTTGTTATATTACGCAGAACTAGATGTTATTTCATTTATTCACTTACAAAAGCTGACGTTTTGGCTGTTTTCGCCTTCTTCGGATCATCTCGAGCTCTGCAGAAGGCATAATCCGCCGGCACGCCAGCTGTTGCAAATATTATAGATGAGTATTAAAATAAAACATCGTGTTGTTTATCAAAAAAGTAGTATTATGTAATTTAAGTGAGTACCACTGGAAGAAAATAATGCAAATTCATAAATTACAAATAATCGACTTGTAAAGCGATTATTCGAGTTTTTCAGAAAGAACTCTCCCTTCTACAAAACTGATTTGTTAAGGATTTATATCAGGCGCTACCAAACTGCAAGTTCAGAGTTTTGGTCCCTCCAAGGTCCAGAATTCTGCAAATCAATGAGCTTTCTTGATAATCAAACCGCTTCAAAAACAGTAAGATAAAGACTTCTTGTAAATTTGTTCAAGGGTTTTTTGAATGCTATAACAGACCTCAAGAATTCCTAAAGATATGCTGTCAGATTATGTATTCTTCTGAGCGAGGTCTATAAGAACACTCGAATGAAAAGGTTTTTTGAGTGTTTGGACATGACGCCGCTTTTGCAAGCAAATGATGTATAATGTTGTAATTTTCTTGAAATCAATTAACTTCTTCGGTTGAACAGTGGAAGAAAGAAGGTTACAACATTGAATCTTCGCTAGATCTAGCCACAAACAATGCCACACCATTGGAATCTCAAACAACCTTTATGTAAATTAGTAGCTTACTTTCATATTGCCTTATGCCTTATTTCCACGATTATTAAGGATGAAAATTCCCGAAATAATACAGTTCAACGAGTTTGGTGAGAATACAGCAACTTGTTACACATACTCCATGTCAGACTTCCACTCAGTTAATCAGTGATGGCAAGAATGGAAGTACACAAGAGAATAATAGAAGAAATACTAAATAATACAAGTGGAGTCAAACACTGGCATCGATACGGTGAGGCAGAAAATGACAAAACAATGAAAGATGGGTGAAATCATGGATGTGGTCAAACCACGAATAGCAAAAAATACCTATGGTCAGCGCGAAAGTGATTGGGGTATCTACCTCGTTGAAATATTGAAATATAAAAAAACCGAAAATCTGAAAATGTATAACCTCACTTATTTTAACGCTAAGCTAATCGAATCAGGAATGGAAAAATGAATTACTTGTATCGCGTGGAAAAACTTCTGCATGAACTAACTTTAAGAGAAGGCAAAACTTTCCTTAGAAATCCCTAAGCAAAAAGCAATAGTCATTTTGTCAGCAAGGTGTACTTTTTGGGAAAAGACCGTACAATCATAATGTTGTCGATTGAGAATGAATCTCTCATTCACTGAGTGCAATTGACACAGGAGTGTTTCGGAGAACAAACACGAAGGGAAACCCCTTTCGCGAGTGTGTAAAGACAAAGTGCAAAGTCACAAACGTCAGCCATCACATAGAGGACATTGAGAAGAACACGACACTCTGAAAAATGGCATGGGTCGAGAAAACACCTCGTTCTATGTGCACTACAAACTGGCCTTTACACCCCTCCCCCTAATCGAGAACCAAGGTTCAAAACTTTAGTGCCAAACATCAAAACTACGTCTTGCGACTTTGACAGCTACGCACAGGACGGTATGTGAAGAATGGTATGTGGGGAACATCATGAAGCTGTTCTAGCTACAGTGCTTTTTATGACATCTACGCTGAATCAGCTTGGGTCGCGCGCCTTTTGATTTGATCAGAATTACAGCGTATTCGATAGGATTTCGTCGGGGCAGTCGTAACACTGGTCTCGTCAACTTTGTGATAATGTCGACAATCTTCATGCTGTTCTTACAAGCAGCTCATACCGGGGCTACCAAAGTACTACGATCTATTGACTACGTTTTGTTGACTTTCATGCCATTTCGATGGTTATATCGAAGAAGTTATTTATCGGTTTTTGCTATTTTTCTGTTCTATCAATGAAAGTACTCAGAGAGAGAGTTCATGATATTATTTTGATTGGTTGACATTTATGGAGGATTGTTAGTATTATGGCTGAGGACATCTACAAGAGTGGAAGAGCGACCTACTACAGCGAATACAGCGATGCTCGACAGCTCGAATTGAGGTGTTCGACATTCAAACATAGAGGCTTAGTTACGAAAACCATGCAAGAAGTATTTTGGGAACCAACGCCCTTCCAACTTCGGCATTACAAAGCAGCAAAATTTCCTTCCATGGTTAAGCTAATATCGCGGACTTAAAGAAAAATATAAATCGGCTAATGTTTCGACGTTTTCATCTTTTATAGAGCTCATCATTTGAATCTGAGTCACGTGGCAGCGAAGAACCATAATGCGAGCGGAAACGAGTATCTATCGGTCGCATCATCGGTTCTAAATAGACCAAGACGTCGATGCTTTGAATGAATAAACTTTTATCTGTCAATCTCGTATTAACTTAACCAATACAGGAAATGTGTGAGAAGTTTCTCGCTCTGGAAGTGACGTAATCGCAAAGCGGCAGACCTTGTTCCCATCTACGACACCCGACATTTAACTGCAAGAAGAAGTACGTAAAGTTCCCAATAGGTATCCTGAGTCTCCAGCAAAAAATATGTTCAACTATTGAGAACCTTCACGTTAACTATCTGCCCATCCGTAGATACTTGGCCAAGTTATACCTACGCTATCAAAGTTTTCGTTCTTCCTGTGGCTTGAAATTTGTAACCATGTAGCACTCATTTGATATGCATAAGGAAAAATCATATTTTCATCCGACGCCCTCGCAAAGATGTCTTAACCTTCGGTCGATGATTTTTTTTCTTTGCTACCCACTCGATATCCGCTGAGACCAATTCACTAATTGTTGTTGTGGCAGCAGTTGCCACTGAGGCGAAGAAGATGTGCGGCTTACATCTTGGTGAACTCTTAATCCATCCAATCTCTGATGGACGACTCATAAGAGAATATGTTTCGACGTTGGTGAATCGCTAAGGGATGTACCATGCATTCGTCTCCATCTTACATCGTTTGGAGTGATTGAATGGATATTTAGACTGTACTAAAGACTCATTGTGGCCAACCCATGTAACAAGTTTGTATTGCTGTCCTCCAGACAGGCCCGGTAGTAATTCACCGACTACGGAGTGATGTAAAGTTTGATGAACTTTGTGAACGAGATTGAAACACTGAAAACCGATTGATCGTCAACGTGTCGAATCTCAGTGCTTCTTAAACCACTGCGCTATGCGCGTTCTGTTGCCGACATAGCTGGAAGCTTTGCTTCTTTTCACGTTCCCATGTGATGCTGATAATCCTAGCATCCCTCACTTAGAGATCTTCTTCTGCTTACACAGTAAAGGCTTGTTCGTTGAGAAGGAAACAATCGTCGGGTAGAAAATGTTCTCGGTGTCGAATATTTTTATCTTGCACATCATCTTCGACGTGCCTGCAAGTTTTTTTCGAAAAAAACCTGTCAAGCGTCTACAATGTGTTTAAGAATACGGCAAACCTCAACCAGCAGCCAAGGTCATCTACAGAAATTTTGGAGACCTTTGCCGATGATGAATGCGAAGATATTAAACAAATGCAAGTGCTGGGTTTCGAACAATAGATGGAATAGCTTTCTCGTGTAAAATAGATTCAGATAATGTACCATCACAAAAGTTGAATTAAAGAAAACTGCCACTAAAAGGCTACAAACTTATCGACCAATCCTTGTCCTGTAATTATTTTTTATCGTATTGACCTATACAACACCGCTATAACCATTAGAGACCTTGATTCTGGAAGGTAACGTGTGAAAAGCTAAACTAGTGGTAAATGAACGTATATCAACATATCTGTGGTGCATTGGCCCGGAATCGAACCCGGGTTGCCCGCGTGGCAAGCGAGCATTCCACCACTGAACCACCACAGATATGTTGGTTCTGGCGTTTTACCTGCCCTCAAACGCCATGCGGGTCTAAGAAAGGTTGTTGCCCCTTCTTCTGCGGATACGCAATTTAGTAGTAATTTATTCAATAACAACAGTATTATTCCAAAGAGCGGTTGGTGATATACGACTAGTGAGTGTATGGTGTAAGTATAATGAAATAGTTCGTCTAACACGAACAACCTACAAGAACAAATGTTACAATAACGACATTTAACAATATGTACAAACTCCCGACGCCAAGGGTAGATTACGTAACAGAAAACTATGTCTTCTCATGTGCCCAGAGGCTGAGATTCGGCAATTATATTCTAGAGGAATGACAAGATAACGAGCGATTGATTGAAGCGACAAGATAGCAGCATCACTAAACGCTGAGCCAGTAACAAGGACGAAGGAACAACAGATACGCGACCTCACAAAACTAGGACAGCAGCAAGAGTACGGAGGGACCCGAGGGCACCGGCGTCGATGCCGGGTCATCGTTCTCGAGCTCTTGGTAAGTACTGTTGTGGATGTGGGGCACGATCACCTTATATGGAATGTGGATGTTTTGCATGTTTCATGTGGTCTTCGTGAAGTTCACCGCGGGAGCGAACAGTGAACTGTTGCCATTGAAGGTCGGGAAAATTATGTACAAAGTGGGGTGATTAAATGTGGGAATGCGCTCTTTACCCCCGGCGGCGAATCCTGCGTGATTTGTAGTAAAGTAAAGTAAAGTTTGAATAGCTTTCTCTTAGTTTCCAAAAATGAGTACCGTGGTTTAGTTTGAAGAAAAAAGTATACGACTGTTTTAAAAAAAAATCAAAAGAATAGTTGAGTGTAAAAAATGGTTTTCTAATCTGTACGAATAGAATATAAGTCACTGAAGTCGGTCAAGCGACAAGACCATTTGAAATAAAGTACGTGATAGTTGTTTTTGTCAGGGAAGCACTTGGCTAAGAGATAGACGGGCAGCCGTAATATGATCGAGTCGGAAAGAATATCTAATTGAAGCGCTCACTTGAGACACGGATATTTCAGAGAACATTTACGACGGGAAACCCCTTTCGCGAAAGTGTAAACATAAAGTGCAAAATGACAAACGTCATACAGCGCATAGATGATTTTGACAAAAATACTGAATGAATGTGACGGAGAGCGAATTACAGTTGAACGAACGTGACAGGCGGAGAGTTACCCTAGTTTAATGCAACAAACTAATCCGACTACGCCCTCGTCCATCGTCGACAAGCAACGTTCAAAACATAGTTGCCAGTCAAACATCAAAAGTGTAGTAACAAAATGTCTCGAGAACGCAACAAAGTTTAAGTGATGTGGACACATTGTGAATTCATCTGATAACAATCTACACCGAGACATGAATCATAAGATGTTCGGAAAGAAAATGAATGGCCTTACGCTGGTATCACGCAGTTTACCTCATCTGGATTATACCTGCTTCACGTAGCTTCAGAAGTTTGGCGGCAATGTCAGGATTTTGGAGATGTTCTCTGACTGCCCCAGGATCCTGACTCATTTGTTCCAGTAACAGCCTCATACCAGGATCACGTAGAATGGCTTGTACTTCAGGGTCTTCCAACGCTCGCTCACGAGCCTTTTCTGGATCCTCGTCGTTACTACGGAAACAGTTGCGCAGTCCTTCAATCGCCTCAACGTTGGAGGGATCTATTGTCAGAGCATCCTCGTATGCACGCTTCGCTTTCGTCCACTCACGCATGGCAGTCAATACTGCTCCCTTTCGGATGTATCCTTTGATAAATTTCGGATTACGTTTGATGCAGTTCTCACAGTCATCTAATGCACGCTGGAATTCCATGAGTTTCGTATAACAAGCAGCACGATTCGAGTAGAGTACAGCGTTATCTGGATCACGTTTGACTGCTTCATTGTAATGTTTCATAGCACCAGGATAATCTCCATTCTTGAATTTCTCGTTCCCTAAATTCTTCTCTTGTTGAGCTATTTCTAGGTTGATGTAAGCAACAAGTTCGCGTTCTTTTATCTCTTTCTCCAATTCTTTCGCCTTCTTCACCGTCTCCGGATCTCTAAACTCTGATACGGACTTTTCGTACCAATTCAAAGCCTCTTTGAGGTCCCCTGCCTTCGAATACGCATTTCCAGCTCTGGCCATTGCCTTCGCTATTAGCTTGAAGTCAGCACGTTGTTCACGTCCAATTTCAACAGCTTTCTTGCAGATCTCTACGCAATCATCGTATTTGTGCTCTTCGAAATAGGCCGCTGCTTTATTAGTATAAAATGTGATGTTGGATAAAATGTGATCAAAAGTGTATTTGCAACCACAGGCAGGAGGTATGTAGGGAATGGAATGCGGGAAACGTCACGATGTCACATTACGCTCATATGAAGAAGCTGACGTAGGGAAGGTGTGAACGCCTAGTCATCACTGCGATGCTCGCCACACTGAATTCAGGGAGGATAGCATTCCAAAATCCTAATTTTGATGTTGTGAGCAAAAAAAAACTTAAAATCAACCAGTATTTTGACATCTCTCGATTTTCTCAGATCGGTAGCTGAGTGTGGAAAATCGACTTGTACAAAAGTGGATATGAAAAAGATGAAGGCGCCGAAGCGTTAATTAGTTTTAAATCGACATCGTGTTCGTGTTGACTTTTCAATCCAAAAATAAACATTGGTTGGTACACACTTTTATAAAAAGAAATGCTCATTTGATACTCATGACACTAATGTGATTTGTAGAAAACAATAGAGAGTATCAGCTTCGTTATACTAATATTCTGATACCCGAAAATTAAAGCCGTTCGGACACTGAGGTTGCGTCTTGGAGGCGTTTCCTTCGTCCAGAAGAGCACGTTTTCTATAGAGAGATGAATAAATGCTTCCAAAGTCATTCTTCTTTTCATAGCTCTATTTGTTCACAATGAATAAGGTTTTCTCCGCCAGCGGAGCACCGACATATAAGAGGGGAATGATAACAGGCAGCCCCAGCTGAATACGACATTTCAAATCTGGGCACAGCTAAGCATAAAAGTATGCAGGCAGTTTCTCGTCTTAGAAGAGATATAGAAGCAGATTATCTAGGTCAGCGAAGCGGTCTTGCATGGCTACATTGGGAGTTCGAGAAAAAACACTCAACCATGAATAAGAAAGGCTTTCACGTTTCTAGTCTCTCCATCCGCTGATCACCGAGTGAATTATGTGGAAATCATCTAGGCCATCGTTCACTCTTGTGGCTTGGCATTGTCACCCATGGACCCTACCACTCTGTATGCTCAGAAAATCAACTTTTCTGTCCAGTGGCTTCGCGAAGTCTCATTCTTGAATTATCGAGTTATTTGATATATGCTTTTTGTCCAATGAAACGCGGTCAACAAGTGTTCTTGCGGCAGCTGTTGTCGTTGAGGGGCATAAGTGTGTGGCTTACATCTCGGTGTTTACGCAATTTTTTGATCTTTGATAGCCGAACTTAAACGGATTTTTAGAGCTTCGCTCCCAGTGAAAACTGATATCCCTAACATCACCCTAATGACAGCGCTGCTTCATTAATCCCCTTTCATTCTTCCTACACAGAAGAGGGTTCGTAAGCTATAAAGTGAGAAATCGTAAATCAGAAGAAGGATACGGCGGATTGGTTTTGTTTTTCTCAACAGCATTTCGATGTTCTCTTTGAGTCATTCTATGTAACGTGCACGCAGTGAGACATTCAATAATGCTCGTTATGCTGGATGTGATCATAACAATAAAAACAAGCCCAACTTACGAATACGGTTTAACCCTATAGAAATAAGTGATCGTGTCGAACGTTACCTAGAAATTGGTTTTCTTGCATGAATGTTTTCGTTTATCACTATGTCACTTTTCTCGTGTGGGGAGCTAAGTTGTAATTGTCAAACAACAAGCTGAGTGATTAATCCTCGTCAAGGCCCTAGAATTATTCTTATCATGTGGCTCAATATAATTCAGGATTAAAATAACTCGAAATAGTCATTCGTAGCGAGTCTAGAAAAGGAGACGACACATTTAGATACTCATCTTCACTTGAAAAGAGTGCTTTTGTTCTACGAGTATCGTTCGAATTTCTTGACTAGAAATAGTAATTTCGAGGATCACGATGTGAACAACATGTTACATAAGGTTTGAAGATAGACAAAGAGACGCGCAAGATAATCCGGCTCAATGTATAGTGTGAAAAGATTCCAATAAATCTTAGGAAACTACTTTGAATCGAAACAAAACTCGACTTCGACAACAGGTACAACAACAACAACAGTACAATTTACCTCTCGTTCTTATCAAGTGCAGGTCTATAATGATATTGACAAAGCAAAGTGCTGTAGTGAGTTCTCAACGCTTTGATAGTGTGCAGATATTGCTTAAGTATTTTTGAGCGCTGAATTAACCAAAAAGGCTATATAGTGTGATTATGGACTAATAAGACTAGATCATTCTTGCGGTAATTGCAAACCTGACGGTTTTACGTCACCGCCAGCTGGATAACCAACAAGCGTCCCTATACCCAGAACTGGAGGAACAAAATTTCTACCTTCTCTACTATGATCCATTTAGACGGAAAGGCACAGTAATGACGTCACTGCAAAAAAGAGCAAATAACTCATGAAAAACCTTCTTGTACTGTGGTTATCGCGCTCAAAGCAGGAAGCAGCTATGAGTAGTTGATAGGTAAGTGAGACAGTACCGAAAAAAGAATGATTAATTTCGCGAAATTCCGCTGGACCTGGAAGAATCAGATACCCGCTCATCCACTCAAACTTCTACAGAATTTATCCAAGTGGGAGTTTCGGAGTTTTATTTGCAAAATTCATCGATTTGTTGGACATTACATGATGCAAAATTGTCTTTAGAAAGATCACATAAAGCTATTTTGTTAGTAAATAAGATGCGATGGTAGTGTGGAGGTGTTATAATTCAATCGAATTAAAGAAGCGAGAACCAGTGGAACAGCAAATCCACGCTTCCCTATTTTTTTTATGAAGAATATGGCT